TAGACACAGAAAGTTAAGTTGCTGCAATGAGTATTCTGAGGGATAGACTGCACTAAGCAGGCACTGGCTTGGTGTATCCTGTCCTGACAAGAAGAATTGCCTCTCTGATGTGTTTGCATATTTCCAGCTCAATTCTGTTTTATTTTATTTTGGTGGCAGCGGTGTACACTCTTTAAACCTTTTTTTCAAGGAAAGACATTTTTTTTCTCTGGATGTTTTATTTCCAACAAAACATCTTTTGTTCTCACCTGCATTCCCCTAGCAGCAAGGCCCACACAGATAATCTTCTGTGCTTAGCGATACAAGCCAGACACATCAATATTTCAGAGTTCCTGTTTTTTCCTGGGTTTGTAGACTGAGCCTCTTCTCATCCCAGTTCTTTTGAATGTCTAGTTTCCCTTCCTACACCAAAGCCCCCTGTGGGGGCCAGGTTGGAACATGTCCTGGTACCTGGCATGGCACCATGTTGGTATTGACTTTCTGATCCATCTTCTGACGCATTATGCCACTGAGACATAAAAAACTCTGTTCTAGGTATGAGACAGCTCAGGGAGGGGAGAGAACTGAGGTGTCAGAGCTGGCTTCACTTCTGGGCTGCTGTTTTCCTCCCACGGGGATTCTGGGCAGACTATTGTCATTCTCCGAGACTTCTGTTTTCATCTCTATATTTTGTTGAGACCTCTTCAGCGTCCTCATCTCCAAAATAATAGGATCAAAGCCAGTCCTGAGACTTCGGGCTCATTTTGAGATTAAGATAATGCATTTGAAATTCCTTTGGAAATCTGAAACTATTACATGGATAGAGGCATTATTATTATTCCCCCTCAGTCATATAAAACATGCAGATGGGCTCAACTTTGGCACTAATGACACCTGGAGGCATTAATAAAGGTAATTCTTCTCCTTTGTCTCTCCCCTAGCACCTCTCTAACAGGAAGCGCTTCAGATCTGGCTTAATGAACACTGATGGGCGGGGGCAGCCTTGATGAAGAATTTAATAATGGCTGATTGATGTAGTAACAAAGGGAAATTGCTTGCTGTTGTGATGCCAAGATGCCAGTTCCCCCTGTCAGGCTGAAAGAATGGGTTGAGAAGGAGGAAGGAAATGACCTGTTTGTGATTTAGGTTGCCCTTTGCACCGATTGTATAAACTGGGGGAGAGGATGAGGTGCTTGCTGTGAACTCCAGGAGAGAAGCACAGGACCAGTGGGCACCCAAAGCCTTTCATGATGGAGACAGAAGAACAAGCCCTCTCCCCTGTTCTTTTTAAAAAAATATATATATTTTATTGATTTTTTACAGAGAGGAAGGGAGAAGGATAGAGAGTTAGAAACATGGATGAGAGAGAAATGTTATCGATCAGCTGCCTCCTACACACCTCCCACTTGGGATGTGCCTGCAACCAAGGCACATGACCCTGATCGGAATCGAACCTGGGACCCCTCAGTTCGCAGGCCGAGGGTTTATCCACTGAGTCAAACCAGGTAGGGCGTCCCCCTGTTCTTGATTGCACTGGTAGTAAATAGGAAAAGTGGGTGGCAAAGTCTCCATCTAATGTTTGTGTATTATAGCAACTTTGATCTATTTCAAGAGCATGGCCCACCTAGACTGGTGTCTCACTTAACTGGCGGCATTATTTCTTCTCACTCCATGCTACTCATCTTCCTTTCCAAGTAGATTTCAGATTCAGGCTTTCCTTATGCTGTTTAGGAAGCACAATCAGGGGCCAAGAGCTGTGTAGAGGTGCTAGTCTGTTATCACTGGCCTTTTCCCAGGCTACAAGGGAAGAATAGCCATGGTGGAGCTGCTACAAATTGGGGTATCAACCCCACACAGGGGCTTGTGGACTACTTACTGCACTGGCACTTGATAAATTGTAACAGTACAAAATAATTCCAAAGAGTAGAATCATGGTGGGATTCCTGAAGAGAGAAAATACATAAAATGCTCCATTTCTCTGGAAGATATTTTACAGACTTTAGGATCTCTCTCTTAATAATGCTCTGCTTTGGAGTAGCCTGCTGAGCTGCTAATGGCAGTGAGGTGACATGTTTGACAACAGAGGACTGGAATGTCAAGAGGGGTTTTGACCTGCCCTTTGGATGCAGTCAGCCAGGATGTTTTTTTACAATTCTTTTTTAAAAACTTATACATCGACATTATTTATATAAATATCATTTAATTCTTTTTTTTTTTTTTGGAGCAGGATATAAAATTTTAAAACTCGGTGAGATTTACTCTTGAAAACTTTGCAAACCTGCTTTTGTTCCATTACTGATCCCGAGATCTGTCATATTTTAGTTCTGTTGGAATCATAATGTACATATACATTTCTCTTGAGTTAGACACAGTTTTATAGAACCGTATTTAAAGTGGGTTACTTAAAACAAATTGCCTCTTATTTTCAGCCCTTCCTGGTGTCATGATTTATTCTTTCTATGTACAATGCATCATCCTCCCAAAACTTATTTTCGATTCAAATTTTACTTAATGCTACTTTGGTATTAATGCTCTTTGGTATTTTTATAGGTGACACAGAATGATCATAATGAGAGTAAAGTTCTAAGTTGAACTTTTCTAATTTCTAATTTTTATTACTGTGATATTATTATAAACTTCAGGAATCAAAATGAATATTGCTTAAAGGAGGGTCTATATTTTAACCAGAAATATAGCTTTCTTGTTCCAACTTCCCACCGGCTTTTGGTCATAACATTGTGATAGGTCATTTTATTTAAAAAGAAGGTAGGCCAACCATGAAGTGACAGATTAGGTATTCAGCCACACATGTTTCACAGTTTTATTACAATTTCAGAGAGGAAGGAAGAGAGAGAGAGAGAGAGAGAGAGAGAGAGAGAGAGAGAGAGAGAGAGAGAGAGAACCATCAATGATGAGAGAGAATCATTGATTGGCTGCCTTCTGCATGCTCCCCACTAGGGATTGAGCCTGCAACCCAAGGCATGTGCTCTTGATCAGAATTGAACCGTGGACCCTCAGTCCACAGACTGACGCTTTATCCACTGAGACAAACTAGCTAGGGCCATATTTCACAGTTTTAAAGATGAATTAGTAATAGAGCTCTACAAAGATTTTATTATATATTTAGAAAGTGTTTTAGGATGCCATATCCTTAGGACTATAAATAGTCTATATACCACCCAGAGATTTAAAGAGAACCCACTGATCCTTGCCTTTTACAATAGTAATGAGCTATCTAAAGATCATCATTAAATTTTAAAGTAAAAGATTAAAACAAATATTCTTCAGTTCTGATTATATCCTGCCAAGTATGTCCAGGCTCACACAGCTAATGAGGGACAGGGAAGCAATTCATATTGAAATCTTCTGACACCATGCTGAATGCTTGCTTAAAGCTGAGACCCAAGAGATCATATACCATACTACTGCACTCATTTTTCAGATGAAGAAGGAGGCCCAGAGACAGTGAGAAGTCATCTGAACTTTTGTTGTCAATGATTCCTTCCTTTCTGCAATACTATGCTTTCTCCATTCTCCTCCAAACGTTGTTAGAAGTAAAAATACAACTATTCTCTCATATGTGCTCACTATCTCATACTGTGAGTGAACATTTAGTGAAAGTCAGCTTATCACTTCCACTAAATACCTGTGATTTCACTCCTAATCCATCCCATCTCCTCCTGAGGTCAAGATTTCTTTCTGTAAATTTTATTGAACACCTGAATGTTTGAGGAGAAACACATACACACACACACACACAAAACAAAAAACCTCAAGATGCAGGGTGTTCAAAAATGGAAATGATTAACACATTCCATAATTTTGTTGCTTCCTCTTAAAGTGCTAGAATTCTTTTTTTTTTAGAATAATTATCTCATTTTTCTCTCAGCTCTGGTTGCATTACCTCCTTCTCTTTCTTGAGTTTAGGGATCTGTATGTTTTTGATCCTGGGGATTTTCAACATTGAGCCCTCGAGTTTAGAATCTACTTCTTCAGGTATTTACTTGCTTCATTAAATCTCTGGGTGGTATATAGACTATTTATAGTCCCAAGGATATGGCATCCTTATAGTGTACTACAGGTTCTATTCCAAACTCTTCATTTTCAGCCATCACTACTGCATCTTTTTTTCTTTCTTTCTTTTTTTTTTTTTGCATTATTTATTCAGGCCCTGAAGCTAGAATCTGTGTATCATCCTTTACTTTTCCATCATATTAGTCTCCATATTTAATTGTCAAATTTTTACAAGTTTACTTCTGAAATACTTCTCAAATCTGGCTTCTAATCTCCATCCTTACCTCCACCACCTTCATCAGTCCACAGTACTAGCAGAGTCAACATAAAGAGCATTTATTGGATTTTTACAATGTGCCAGACACAGTACTAAGGTGCAAGTCAGAAAAAGTTAGAGACCCACTCCCTAAATTCGGAAGGCCTGCGTTATCATAGACAGTTAAATTTGTATTCATTGATGTTCCCCCCCCCCCTTTTTTTGTCTATATACCTCTTCTTCTTTCTTTTATTTTTATGAAGCAAACTCAATACAAGTAATTAAAATATGCTGACAATTTTACCCATAGTTGTTCAAATACTAGTACTATTCTTGTTTCTTTTTGAGACTCCTCAAATCTCATTCAGAAAAATTTCAAATATGCACATATGAGATGTCAGTATTACTGAGAGCATCCCTGAGCTATTTAAAAAGGTACCATGTCTAATTCTCAGAGTAGTTAAAATGAAATTTTAGAAAATTATAGGAAGGCCTAGAGGTAAAGTAAATGGCTGTGAAATATGAAGAGAACCGTAGTATATCTCAAAGCATGATCGTTTGTTTTAGTAGAATACATGCTAAATTCGAACATGTTGCCTGAGTGCCACAAAACAAGTTGCTCTGAAAATAAAACTTTTGAACAAAATAATCTCCTTAAGGTTTCTTAGGTATTTTCAGTGTAGTTTTTAGTGTGCTAAAATCTTCCCACAGTGGTTATCCGATGTAATGAGGACTTTTCTGTTGCTTACAGGTACACGCTGGTGGACATTTTGCGTGCCATTTTGCTGTCTTTAGAAGCCATGATTGAAGATCCTGAGCTTCAAGTGAATGGATTTGTTTTGATCATAGACTGGAGTAACTTCACCTTCAAGCAAGCCTCTAAACTTACACCCAGCATGCTGCGATTGGCTATTGAAGGCCTTCAGGTAAAACTTGACAAATTACCCACTTTCTTGGTCTCCCATGTTTGACTTTAATCTGTTAGAATAGCAAAATGTCCTAATAAGGGATAAAAAAAAAATTTATATAGTTTTCAAGCACAGACATTAAAACACTAACTGGACCAAGGATTTTAGGAGAAAAAGGAGTGGGCCTTTTAATAGGTGAGAATTTGTAATACTTGGCATAAGCGCTCACTATGCCTAAACATAAATATGATAACCTAAGATTTTTATCTTGATAATCATAACAAGCAACATCTTTTGGATTTTAATTGTTAACTCTTTAGGCTTGGTTTTTTTTTCCTTTTCTTTTTTCTGTCCTGTGTATATTAATTAATTTGCTTCCTCATTTTGTTTAACCTGGTGAATTTGGAATATGATGGTATATTGCCTAAAAACTGTTGGAAAGTCAATCAACATGTTTTTGATCTCTAAGCTCTGGAACCACTGTTTTGAATTACTTTTCTAGACTTAATTGGGGTTTTGTTCTTTTTTGTGTGTGCAAGGGCTATCGCATTTACATAGGAATAGTGCATCTTCCAGCAAATGACATTGGGAATTATAAGATGGAAAATTAGTTGTTATTTAGTGGTATGTGATAATTAGCTGATGGCGGATTACTCCCTAAAAACGAGCCACTTCTCCAGGTAGCAGAGCAGCTTAACCTGTTTAAATTCACAGTTTGAGTTTTGTCTCTGGAGTGAATAAGGCTCCCTGTTCCCTTTTCTCTGCGGAGGCTTTTTCTGGTACATGTTTCCTTACTTGCTTTTGGTGAGTCACCCTTGCTCCTGTCTTTACCTTGAACGGAACTTTTCTTTTTTTAAAAACTTCATAGAGATAATTAATAAGCTTGGGAGAGGGCACAGGATAATGCCCATTTGAAAATGTGCAGAATGTGCCCTAATGCACATGTGGAATGTGCCCTGTTGCCTGCGGTGTATAAAGTGGTTTTTATCTTATAAAGAAAATTGGTCACCACCAACCATGTTACTTAACACAGGATGGTATCCTAGCCTTTTAGACTTGTTACCACTGTTTAACCTGCATCTTCTCTTTGCACTAGCAGTAGAGTAGACTTTCCACTGCATGAGGGACTGGGGAACTCCTACCATTCCTATGAAACTTAAAAAAAAACACAAAACACTTTAAAGATAGACTCTGCGCTTTGCTATTTGCCAACTTACACACTGTATGAAGCCATTTAGTAGTAAGGCGAGAAGTCCTTGCAGAAGAAACATGGAAAATTCAGACGTGTTTGGGAGCTTCCCCGCTGGCCATGGCCACTCTTGGAACTTCGGTATGTGCCCCGTGGCAGCATGACGGGAGCTGTAGTCAGATGGCACCTCTGTGCTTGTGCTGGAGAGGGAAGCAGCCTCATCTCCATTCCCCATAAATGTTTCCATCTCTTTTCCTTTCTCCCAGGACTGGGATCGAGGAAGCAGGGGTCGTGCTTTCTGGTTGTTGGTTGGGAAGCCACTTACAATAAGTGAACTCTACCTGTCAATGAATTTGACAAGTTATTCACATTTAAACTCAATGTTTTCTTCAGTTCAGATTGGTTTTTTAAAATGCTCTGTATCTATGTCTATATGCATCTCTGTCTCTGTCTGTACTGCATCTAAAATTATAGTGGTAATTCTGAACAGGATGATAAGATGTGCTAAAAATGCCCCATTGTAACATGCATGATTTCATATTTAGTTTTATACAGAAGTTACATTTCCTGACTTTTTTAATCAAGTCTCTGTTTCTTTTGCATTTACCATGTGAGAAATATTATCGTCCATTGAAAGATACTTCACGCAGAGCATGGATAAATTTATTTTTGAGATTGACATAAGATCATAAAACATTTGAATTAAAGATATATACACAATTTTGGTCACTAAACATTACTAATACCATCATCAAGTCAAACAACACCACCACAGCCGAAACCGGTTTGGCTCAGTGGTAGAGCATCGGTCTGTGGACTGAAAGGTCCCAGGTTCGATTCCGGTCAAGGGTATGTACCCGTGTTGCGGGCACATCCCCAGTGGGGGGGGGGTGCAGGAGGCAGCTGGTCGATGTTTCTCTCTCATTGACGTTTCTAGCTCTCTATCTCTCTCCTTCCTCTCTGTAAAAAAATCAATAAAATATATTTAAAACAAAACAAAACAACAACAAAAAAACAAACAAACGACACCACCACAGCAATAAATAACCTCCAATCCCCATGCCAGGGAAATTGAGAGGTGATAATATTTTTATTTATTTTTCCTTTTATGTGTGAGACTATTTTTAACAACTCAGTGATGGCTTATGCCATGTCATAATTCTACTATAATATGTTATTTTTACTTAGGTACACGTAAAATATATTCTAGGAAATTGAACTCAAAATAAGAAAGGCTAAAGATGAACATGCCAGAGAAGAAAGTTACTTGAATGAAGTGCATTATTAATGGGATGTAACCATGTTTTGAAGAGGTCCCATCTCTCTTTCTCTTGAGGTTACTGCACACACAAATTCCTTTGCCTGAAGTGAAAGGGTATTTTGAGTGATTTGGCTAGTGATGGCACTTGATACCTTGGATATGGACACAAACTAGTAGACTGTTGCTAGAAGATTCACCTGTGATCACAGTACCAGTCAACAGAGAGACAGTGTGGAAGGGTGAAAATAAAATGGGCTTTAGGGGCAGACAGACCTGGGTTTGGATGACAACCCTGTCACATATCAAATATTGGGTGAATTCCTAAACTTGTTTGAATCTTTGACCATTTATAGCAAATTTGAAGTATTATGTTTGAAATCATACATCTTGCACCCAGCGGGTGATATCAATGAGCAAAGTAATCAGTGTGCATGAGCTAATTATTTCAGGTGCCATATTGTTCTGCATATGTGCTGATTTTCTCACAATTCAGTGACTACCTAGACTGTGAAGACCTAAAGCTAATTGACTTTGGGAATCTGAATGATCTCATATTTTGCTTTTAATGCTCAGATTGTAGATACACAGATTGCATTTTAAAAAATTACTTCACTGTGTGGTTAAATAGCGTCTAGATATGTTCATGTTAGATGCCAAGTAAAATAATTTTTCATGTTGGAAGCCAAGTAAAATTGAAATGGTTTCATCTAGTGAAAAATCAATCTTTGTTTCTTTTCAGAGAAGCTTCAGGCCCAGTTGAAAAGGGGATGAGTGTGGAGATATCCTTGGTCTTGAGAGTTGAGCTAGAGTTTGCTAAGTTGACTAGGACAGGAAAAGCATTTTGGGCAGGGAAGCTTTTGGGAAGTGCTTTGGAAGGAACATGCAGCTATAAGGGATTGAAAGTACATGATAAATCTGTATTGATCTGGTTAGAGTAACACATGAATTGAGGTGAATGGCCAGAACTGAGTGGGTAAAGCAGGCTGAGCCTTGGATAGACAATGGCATGCTATGTGGATTGGCCCAGGTTCTCAGAAACGAGGAAATTATGGACAAGACAGTGACTTGGACAATCCTCTGCTTTAGGAAGATCTTTTGGGTAGAAGAATGGGCTTGTATTAAAAAAAAAAAAGGTGGGGGGAAGGGGCTAGATCTAGTTTGAGAACCCCCAAACTGTCCTGGCAGCAATTATATTGATTCCATTTTTGTAGGACAGGAAATGAAGCTTCAGAGAGTTTGACACTCAGATTTTCTCAACTGACATCAAGGCTTGAGTCCAGGTTGGCTGACTCCAAAGACCAATGCCTTTCCTGAATCTTGTTTCAATTGTTTCCAGGGCTGTGTTTTTAAAAAAACACACAGATATGCTCAGTTTATTTTTATATTTTAAATACATATATTTTTATTGATTTCAGAGAGAAAGGGAGAGGGAGAGAGAGCTAGAATGATGAGAAAGAATCCTTGATTGGCTGCCTCCTCCTGCACATACCTCAATGGGGATCAAGCCTGCAACCTGGACATATGCCCTGACCGGAAATTGAACTCTGACCTCCTGATTCATAGATCGATGCTCAACCACTGAGCCACCATAGCTAGGTGATAAGCTCAGCTTAGAGAAAACATGTGAAACTCACAACCTGAGGCCTGTATGCCTTGTTTATTTGGCCCATGTCAGCCTTTGAGTTTGAAGTGCTTGGTTTAGAGTAACTTCCTGCCCACATGACAAACTCTCACATGTTAATACAGGTGGAATTTGTTTATTGGGATAAACAAAGCAATGCTAACTGGCCTTGCATATATTTTTGAGACTAAGTCACAGAACCATTTCTTTCCCCTTCATTTTTTTTGGAATAAAATATTCAGGCTTCAATGGAAAGAAAAGAGAAAGAGAAAATTGTCCTGCTAATTACAGAAAGTTAATTGATTAGGGTAGTTATAGTAATAGAAAACATCTTAGAAAATCAATACAAGATTAAGTGGATGTAACACATAGACTCTAAGATATCTGCCTGGGAAACCAATTAAAACATGAAATGTTTGGAAATATCTGGAAAAGTGTAGACTTTTTGGATTTACAGAGAACTGATGTGGTTACAGTTGCTCTATTTTTAAAAATCCTGTAATAATGAAAAACTCAAACTCTCGTATGAATCCAGGATCTCTTATTTGTGAATTTTAAAAAAGTTACTTAAGCCCTATATGTATATACCGTATTTTTCGGACCATAAGACGCTCCGGACCATAAGACACACCAGTTTTTAGAGAAGGGAAATGAAGAAAAAAAGATTCTGAAACAAATAGTGTCCTAAAATATTTTATGTGCATTAAAACCCAACATCACAGTCATAAACACATGTAATCAACCCTGTAAAGTAAACAGCAGCATTTAGAACCATTTTAGAGCCGGGCAAGCACAGAGACCACACAGAGCCGGGCAAGTAAAAAAACTTTTTTTAAAAAGTATATGTGTAGGCTATATTTGGACCATAAGACGCAGGGACTTTCCCCCCCCCCTTCTGGGGGAAAAAAAGTGCGTCTTATGGTCCGAAAAAATACGGTATTTACTAT